GTTCAGTTTTCACACAGACAGGCAAAGGAAAGATAGGGTAATATTTTTATGTTTTATGGCTGGCTTTAGGGAAAAGAGGTTGTGGTTTCCATTGAAATTATGCTTTATAAAATTAATAAAGGGCCACAGGATGGGAACTGTGGTAGGGGAAAAATATGTGTATATATCTCTATATACAAACACATTATATCCAGCTTGCTTTTCTTTAATTGCTTATACCTTACTACTCAGGAGTCATATAGCTGATGATCATAATGATTCTTAGCTTTCTTCATTGCTCCCCCAGATAACATCACCCTTGTGAGACCTAAGGCTAATTTTTGAGATATCTTTTGGGCCTTACATTCCAGTGGACAGATTGACTCACCCAGACCAGTGGCCCACACCAAGGAACTGACTCAACTGGTCTTGCAACAACTACCCAGGAACTGATTCAGAACAAGAAGGCAATGTCTACACCCTTATGATTCCACTTTGAACCTAGCCAATCAGCAGACCCAATTGCCTAGCCCTTTGGGCCACCAAATTTTATTTAAAAACCCTTTCTCCCAAATTTGTGGGGAGGAGAATTTGAGAACTTCCTCCTGTCTTCTAGCATGTCACCTGTGATATTAAACACTTTGTTATAATCCCTGCTGTCTCAGTGTATCGGCTTTCTCTTGACAAGTGGACAAATGAACCTGGTAAGGCTGTAACACGATGACCCACCTTGAGAAACAGGGATTCTGTTTCCATGGTGAACCTCAGGGCAGAATGGAACTGAGAGGCAGGAGAGCAGGAGAAAGTCAGCAGAAAACTTTTACTTCTGAGACTGATACTGAGGTCCTCATTTTGGAGTATTGTTTTCTGTGCTTAAAAACTGAGATATGTGGGCCAAAGCACCAGAGATAAGAAAGGTATGCAGAGAAAGAGCTCCATAAATATGTGTATGGATTTGCTAAAAACTTTAGCCAAATACTAATCTGCTCATATGTAAAATGAAATTCCCCAAGTCTGAGCAAAGAATAACTGTAGGGCAAAGAACAATTAGTAAGAAGCTATGCACCAATTTTTCATCTGAGCTGGGAATTATTGCAGTTTTTTATAGGCCAAAGTTAAGAGATCTTAGTAAATACTTGGGGGAATAAATAGTGGTCTCAGCTGGTCATATCTTTGTAGCAGGGCTAAATTATCTCTAAAATAAAGGTACACTAGAAATCCATGTTAACACAAATTTTTACAAAGGTGTCAAAGAATTTACTTTGCAAGTCACATAAATGCCTTCTAAAACAAACTTTAACACCACTTAAAATAATATATCAAAATTCAGTCAACAATGCAATATTTGTCACATCTGGTATTTAATGATAATAATAAAAAATTAGACACAGAAAGAGTTGACATTTCAAGATAAAAAACCAGAATTAAATGACTCAAGAAAAATAGACTTAAAATTGAGAAAGATGATGGAAGTTATCTCAAAGGTTCTCAAAATATGCAATTTAAAGGATCTTTAAATGTAATGGTCAGAGAAAAGTAAAATAAAAAATTAAAAAGAACTTACAGAAATAAAAAATACAATGTCTGAAATAAAAAATTCACTGGATTGGATTAATTATAAATTAGAAAATGGAAGAAAACAAAGATCAATGAACTTGAAGGCAGAGCAAGAGGAACTATCCAAAATGATGCAAAAAGGGGGAAAAAAGACTGAAAATAATTAACAGAGCCTCCATGCTATTTAGCACCATACTGAGTTGTCTAACATGTATGGAATGAGTACCACATGGATGACAGAGGGAGGTAGAAGCAACCAAACAGGCAGACATAGAAAAACAAAACAAACTGAAAATGTAATATCAGAAAACTTTCTAGTTTTAATGAAAATTATAAACCTATAGATACAAAAGTCTTAAAGAACAGCAAGGAGGATAAACATAAAGAAAACCATATCTAAAGAACATCATAATGAAATTGAAAAAAACTAAAGTCAAACAGAATATTTTTAAACAGCCAGGAAAAGACTCCTTTACAAGAGAATAAAGAGAAGAATACACAGACATATTGTAGGAAATCATATCGTCAGAAGATAATGGAGAACATTTTTAAAGTGGTGGGGGAGGGGGAGGACAAACAAACAAACAGTATCTCAATAGTCCTTCTTTTTTTGTCACTGCCAGAAGTTCTTGGCTTAATCTCAAGAATTTCAACCTACTCATGTGCAGATTAGCACTCAGCCAAACACTGAAAGTGACAATAGTCTCTACCCAGAAAAAGCATCTTTCGAAATGGAAGCAAAATAAAGACTTTTAGACAAAGAAGATAATAGAAAAGGCTTAGGTACTTTATTGACAGAAATGTGCAATAATAAATGTTAAAGGAAATATCTCAGGGAGGAAGAATATAATGTTAAAGGCAAATTTGAATATATACCAGTGGTTCTAAAAATTTTTGCTTTCAGATAAAAAATGCATATATAAAAATTATTGAGAACACCAAAGAGCTTTTGTTTATGTAAATTTAATAAAATTGAAGAAATTCAACACCAATTTAATTGGTTGAAAGTACCAATAAAATCTATCATCTACTGTGTTACTATATTTTAATGTAAACAAAATATTTAAGTTGAAAATAATTATCTATATATACAATAATGAGGAATAAAGTGGTATTGTTTTATATTTCAAAAATCTCTATAATGCCTGTGTAATATAGCTGAATTCTATATTTATTTCTATATTCAGCCCATTATATTAATAATGTTTTTCAAGTAAATGAAAAAAATCTGAAATCTTGTCTTACGTAGGCAATCCATTGGAAAACTTACTATTTTAAAAGTCTTTTCAGATAATTATGCATATTATTGTTGGATACTATGTCAAAATTTGACAAGGGATAGCTTCTTAGATATTAATTTCAATAAACATTCTGAAATCATATCAATGTACTTTTTGTTATATTAAAATTCATTATTATATCTTATACTTTTTTCACTCGTGTAACAAAAACAACTGTATCCCCTAAATCTATTCAAATTTTTAAAAGTAGCTGAAATAAAATTTATTCTTAACTCTAAAAAAAAAAATGGATCTTTTCCAGATGAATGGATTTACAATGTCTTGCATTTGGTCTTAAGCAATTATCAGTTCACAGAATTATACAGCTCTTCCCAAAATATCAAAAATCACATTCATAAATGTATTATTGAGTTGATAACATATGTAGATTTACACTATATAACAATTATGGTCCAAAAGACAGGAAGTGGAAAATGAAAGTATATTTTTGTAAGATTCTACAATTCAAGTGTAGGGGTATAATAAATTTTGAAGGTAGATTGTGAGAAAATCTTGAAAAACTCCATTTACAAACATAGTTTTAGGTATTTCTCCTATTCTGTCAACTTTTGCATTATCTAAAAATAGATTTATTAGGTGTATAAAAATTAAAATTATTAATCTTCTTTATAAATTGGTTAAGTTTAAATATACTGTCTGCCCTTTGTTTTCTACTTTTGCTTTTATATTTTGCTGGTTTTTTTTCCTTTTCTATCTTCATTGGATTAATATAATACTTTTTAGTATACAATATTATTGCTACTATTGGCTTATTAATTATATCTTTGTTTTTCTTTTTGTTATGGTACTATAATATAAAAAATGCATCTTTTCAAAAGAAGTACATATTTTCTAATTTTAAATAAACAAAATAATATAAATTATGCTTATAATATTACTAATAGTGATATTAAAGTTTGATTTAACAACAAGAAATGTTTTATTTAATAATTTAAAAACTTTTATTTGTAGATATCATTCTTATTTGCATGGCATTGGTTTTGAAAATGTTTTATTGATATTCTTGCATCATGACTTATCTTAGGAAATAATAGGGGCATTGAGGTGCACATTTTTACAGATTCCAAATTAAGGCAGCAATAAATATTCATTATATAAATCACCTTATTAATATGTAGATTTATTTTAATACTTTTACTTTCTATTGTAGGGGAAGAAAATATCTTTTCTTCCCATTTTAGGTTCACCCCTATAACAAAAGATAGATTAGCAAGAGAAAAGCATACAAATTTATTTACTATGAGGTTCACATAACACAAGAGTCTTAGTAACTAAATACGCAAAGAAATAGGCAAACGCATATTTTTATGTGTATCTTGATTAAGAGTGTGCAGTTATGGAGAAGTATGATTGGAGGACAAAAGTGTATGATCTAGTAATAATAAATTGTGAGGGACTTAGAAAGGCTATTTGCTCAGATTCTTTTCTGTGTCCCTGTGTCTGCAGAGATAAGAATGTTTCCTTCCTCGGGATACAGGGAGGGTAACTATGGAATGAGAGTGTTATGACCTGCGTCAGGGAAAAAGGTGGAAGAAGGACTGAAAGGATCCTCCTAGGTTACAACTTGCTGCAGGAGAGAAGAACAAGGAGAAGGTGACCTTCCTTCTTTGCTGTTTTCTCAAATGTCCATGTGCTATATGTTGGAGTAGCATGTCCTGAACTCCATCACTATCAAATTAATTTTTTGAATGTCATGTTTTCTCACAGGTCTATTCTAAACAAAATTCATTTAATTATAAATAAAACCCCACAAAATTATGCAGTAAATTTCTGATAACTTAGTCTGGGGCTGGTAATAAATACTGATTGTAGGAAACATCAAAATTATTTTGCACATAAATAATTTGCACATGAATTACAGATAAAACTTGTGCAAATCCAGACCAATGCTGTGCTCAGATTTGTATAACTGAAAGACATAAAAGCTAGTAATTAGGAAGTGAAAGAATCAGAATAACCAAACCTGAATTAGACTGGAACATAGACAGTGACATTAAAAGCACAGAATTAGAAGGCAGAATGAATGCTAAACACTTTTTAGCATTGTCAAGAAAGTCACTGAAATATTCTCTCTGTGGGACATTTGTAGCAATAGCTAGTCTTGTACTAATGCAATAACAATGCATAAAAGTAAAAAAAGAAAGAACAAAAGGTGCAACTTACCAGAAGATATATGCTCAGTATGCAAAACCCCAAGAAAAATATGGCTCTAACTGCATGTTTCAAAAGGTAGCCAATCAATCTATGAATGGGGGAACACAAAGCAAATAATTCAGACAATGTTTCCTTTACACAGATAAAACAAAGTCACAAGAAAAATACTTCATTTGCTATTATTTCCATATGGAATAGTATGAAAAGAAAGTAGAAAACAAAAAGCTTTTTATAATTTATATATTAATAAGAAGTATACCTCCTATTTAGGTCTTTATATTTTAAAAGAGGTTCATTTTTGTATAAACAGTGTGATATCACACATGAAATAATAATAAGATATATCCCTTTCTTTAAATGTGGAGAAAACAAAATAAAATGTGGCTAAAATAATAAGAATTAACCTGTTATTTAAATGAATGTTGAATATTTTTTTATGAAATGGAAGATATCATTAATGACTTTATTCATCATTAGTGACTTTATTTATTCATACGTGACAAAATATATAACCAGTCCAGACAAATGAAAAGTGGATGGTTACTGCTAACAGAGCTGGTTTCTAATATAGTTGAACTCACTACACGCATTATGAGAATCATCAGGGTGCTTTGTGCTTTGAGTTTTAATATCGCCACATGAAAATGGGGCATCAGAAAATGTGTCAAATGTTGAAACAATTTTTCTCTGTCTTTCATCTGGATTTCTTTCAAAGCTGGAGAATGCTCAAAAGAATACATTTACAAAATAGGAATGTTTATGTATTCTGACTCTACCCTGTTTCTCCCTAAGGGACAGAAGGAGTTGCAGCCCATTGTAATTTATTACAGATCATTTCAATTTAATCTGCTTTGGTTTTGCCCTGCTGTATTTATCAGCTAGTCCAAGAATTGGCTAAATATGAATAATATCTCATTTTACATCATAGCATTTGCAAAATTACCACCCTCAACACTGAGACCCACTCATCTCTTTCTTCCAAAAGTTATTAGCTGTTAAATAAAGCTCTGACTAGCATCAACCTGTGTTTCCTGCAGAATTTTGAGGACTGGGGGAAGGCCATTTAAAAATATACTTAAAATATGTGAATAATCTAAATAAATAAATGCAAGTTGAAACGACATTATACAATTTGGCAAACATTTAAAAATATTAATTCCAGTCTAAACTTTGTCAAAGATAATTGTCAGAATCTCTCAAAGTTAAAATTTCATACATTTCTTGAGGTAGCAGTTCCCTAGTTAGAAATGTCTCCTTTTCATATACTCAAAGAATGAATTTATTTTAGCAAAGTTACTAGCCAAAACTTAAAATTAATCTATAAAATTATATGCAAATATTCTATGCATTATTATAAATAGTTAGAACATTATTAACAGAAAACAAAATATTTCAATGAAATAAAAGAAGATATTATCGTTTCCTGTTAAAAATCATTTTGCCACAGATGCTCAGAGCTAGGATGAGAAACCACGTATAGAGTGCAGTATTTCTAGTCAATCCTTCATTCATTCATTCTTACAACATTAAGAGTAAAGTTTTATTTATTAATTCATTAATTTCATTATCTATTGACTCTTTTAACAGATATTTATTATAGGTGCTATAATAGGCACTAGGCTAGATGCTGCTCATAAAAGAGAAATTCACTTTTACTTATTTTAGCCGATCATTTTTGCAGTCTCAGCTAGTACAGTTGGTGCCTACATGCAAATTAAAGATCAAAAAGTGACCTTTCCTTGAAGATTTGCAAAAGACGCCGGTTCTGGGCATATCAATGAGGAAAAAAGGTATCTTCTTTTGGGCAGATGCAGCCACATCACACAGAACACAAATATGGCAAGAAAGGCAGAGGCTTCCTATAATCTTTGCTCCTGCACCTGTGGCCAGGCACTGTCACTTAGAGAACACGGTGACAACCTTATTCAGAGAAGCTAGAATTTGGAAAATCTTACTAAAAATATAGAGATATGCTGGAATCAATTTACTTGTATATTTTTTATAACCTTACTTATATATGTTGAAGTGGGCAAATGCATTCTTTTGGCAATTAGGAAATCATTTAAAAATCTTCTGGGTAATTGAGAGTCTGGTTTTCCACCATTGCTCAAGCAGGTACTTTATGATGTCGAACAAAAGGTCAGAAATACCTTTGCTCTGGGTTGGTGCTACAGAAGAGCAAAGATTGTTTATGGGCAGTTCATTTAGCTTTCAAAAGCAGGGAAAAGGCAGCAGAACATGCATTCTAAGGAAGTCGGTAGAGTTGTAATAGTAGCCATGGTCAGATAAGAGAATTTCCACTGTCACTTTGCAACTTTGGACACTACTTGTTAGGGAAGCATATTTTGGCAAAACTGACACTGCACCCTATTTTCTTCCCATCTCAGCTCTTATATTTCATGAGATCTGAATTTGATAATGAACAGATTTTATTGAGTATTGAGGGGTTAGGAAGGGGTGAACAATTATCTTCCTTAAATGACGTTTAGTTGTATTCGAACTTCTCTTCCACATTCTATAGGTATGTTTGCTAAAGGCTTTATTTGAAAAATACTTGTTATTTTATTTTATTTTATTTTATTTTGATTATAGGTTAATAGGACTATAGAACAACTGAATATGCAGAAATAGCAAAAGATCAAAAGAATAGTTACTAAAGAGCAAGAAATCAGTCACTTTTGTTTCATCAGCAAAGAGATCCCATTTCAGAAATCAATTATGGTTTGCATACCTATCTGTAATCAGTGTTTCTTTGACTTGAAATCCTTAATATCCCTATAAGAATATTGCTACCTTGTGATTTAATCACTGGAAAGAGGCACATGGCAAACAAGCTTCCTCTCCTTGCTTCTGTCTTTGACAAGTTATTAAGAGAAAGTTTTGCATTTAAATAGTCTACAAAAGGATTTATCCTGAGGCACTGGCATTACATTTTCTCATTAATTTAGCTATCAATCTACATAAAATCAATTAAAGATTCTATAGATAAAATACATAGAAGATACTCTTTAAGGGATGTCCCGTGGGATCTGGACCTGGAATATACCTTTCAAGGGTATCTTTTTATAAAATTTTAAAATTTGTATTGAAATTCTGTTGAAAATGAAGTCTTATGGAATGATAATGACTTTCAGGTAACACTAATTAAGTCTGAAAATTTGTAATAGATTGAGTAATTAAAGTTCAACACAAATTAAGAAGTGAATTCAAGTTAAAGGAGTCCAGAAGTTTAATAATTCTATCTACTAATTCAAGTTACTAGATGAGAAAGAAGCTCTAAAGATATAGGTAGTAAGGTTTAAAAGCTATGCTTTCTCTTTAAATTTACATGACTAAAAATATCAATAAAGAAACAAAGTAAGAGTTTTGACATTTCTTTTAATATCTTTCCTTACTGAAACTATGATATACTAAAAAGTGATCAGTATAGTTTCTGATATTCTATATTTTAAAATTTTATTTGGGAGGGAGATTATATATATATATATCACTTGCACTATCAAAATAAAATGAGCTCTGACTTAATTTTGTATATCCTAGTTACAAATAGTTTAAAACAGAAGCTAACATTTATTAAGCATTTGCACATTCTAAATATTTTGTACAAATTGAATCCTATGATAAATTTCACAACACCACTATTATAACCTTCATGTTAAAAATAAGGAATCTAAAGCATAAAAGAAGTTAAATAGTTCTCAGGATTACACGGTGGGCAAAGGCTCCATCAAAACCTCATGCAATTGGGCTTCAGAAACCGTGTCCCAACCACTAACTATTTGTTGTAACCACAGTACAATATTACTTCTCAGTATATTACAACAGTGCTTTTTTTTGTAGGCAAACAAATACAGCAATACTGAAAAACACTTTTGACATGGACTTCCTATTTTCACTTTCATAAAATATTAAACACTGTATAACACCACAAGGCAAACTGCTGAAACCTTTTAAACCTGTTTTTCATTATTTCCTAAGAGAATCAGATATATGTAAAGAATAACTAACTGAATTATTTCTATATATTATCAAGGCATTTTTACATACAATGTTTAGATAGACTAAAATAAATAAATTTCTACATTTTGATGTCCTTTTTGAAGGAAGCCAGAAGTTTTTCTTTTAGGCAGCATATTTGGATCATGGGAACCTACTAATAATACTTCTTTTTATGAATGTCTTATAGTCCAGACCCCTGCTATGCAACAGAAGTTTAAAAATCCCTAGTGGAGTAAATCTATTAATAGAGATTCTCTCACTCTTCCTCATAGATGCCTTTCATTTACTGCTTCCTCTGTCCTTTTTCTTCCTTTTTCCCTTTTATCTTTTCCAATGTTTTCTTATGCTTTTAAAAAAATTTTTCCTGTGTATTCTACTGGTATTATCTCTTAGCTGCTATGGTGGGTAATACAGGTTTTGTTTCAGTTTAAATTACATGCAAAGTATTCCAGAAAATTCTGTGATGGTACACTTAAGAATTTAATTTTGTTTTAAACTATAATTGTTATATGGAAATATTTTATATAAAGCTAGTTCCAATGCTAATATCTTCTTTTATATTTGTGAAATAATTTTGATAAGCATTTTCTTATTACTTTATAACACACTTTAATAAAGACACCTTTTAATGAAGACAAATAATAGACTAATAAGGTAAGTAATGTCACAAGGTTTCAGAATTAGCTAGTCACTAGACATGAAATAGATCCCAAATTTCTAGCTATTCCTCAACCTGGATATCCCTGTTCTATTGCTCCATGGGCATTAAAGGTTAAGATGAATCAATAAAAAATTAAATTCTTGTCATGTGTGACATATTATTGGTGTTAACAAAGACATATATGCTATTTTTGCCGTATGTTAGGAACCTGCAATGGTCACATGCACTACTCAAATAGAGTTCAGCTCAAGTTAGTGTATACTTATTGTATACAGTGGTATTGAGGGTCAATGAGGGGTTCCCTGAGCCAAAATATTTCTATCAATGCTTTCTTCATGCCCTAAAATTAAAGTCATTATTTCCAGAGTTGAGGATTTATAAGTCTTTGAGAGGTCTCCATGTCCCTAAGACTCATTAAAAACACATAATTTAATTCTTTAATAGACCTCTAGGACTTTAGTGTACGCAATATGAGATGGACATGTGGTAGATTACAGACGACTCTAAGAAAATTAAGAAAGAAGAAAGAACACAGATAGGATAGAAAGGGATCGGGGGAGAGGACCAGAGACAAATTTTATGTTCATCACACTTTTACTTAGAGCTGATTTAGCTTAGTTATCAGTCTTACCTCATCTCTGAGTATTTATTCTCACTGGAGAAGAACATCATTTGCTTTTAGAGAATGTATAATGTACTTTCTCTCTAACTCACAATCAATACCAGATGTTTTTCTAAATTACTTCTCCTGTTTGAAATTGTCCAGTCTTTCTAAAACCTCCTTGCTTGAAAGCCTACTATTTCCAGGACAGAGCAATTAAAAGGCCAGCATTTTTTGTGTTATGCTTCTTCTCATTCAGGTATATCTGTGTGTCCAAATTTTCACATTAATTTACAGATTTATCCAATTAGTTTATTTAAAAAATATGTTTTGATCTAGAATATGCCATTGGGGAAAAATAAATAAATATTGGTCTCATGAATACATAAAATATACAGATAGACAGATAGTGACAGATTTTTAAGGTATAGATCAAAGTAATTTTGAGTTAGTACTATATGGTGATATGTTTTTGTATCTTCTAAGCCATTTTGTGACCTAGACTAAAAAGCATGTGTTTCCCTTTTGATGCTAATTGCTATCCTGCCATTCATGTGAACTTTCCTGTAATACCATCTGTCACTAATGCATTCCCCTACTGCATCACTAGGCAACAAACTTTAGCTAATCTAATCAAACAATTTAAGCCATGATGCTAATGACTAATGCAATCTTGATGTATAGACTAACAGTCCTAACCACTGTTAGGTTTAACATAGACTCACAGAATTTTAAAACTAAACAACAAAACATGCTCTTAGATAGTATCTCCTATAACCACATACTACACATGGAGATAATGAGTTTCAGAGTGCCTTTTCCAAGATTACTTGGTGACAGGGCAAGAATCTGGGTCTCAATTATCAATTCTTTAGCCATTCAACTAATTAAATTTCTAGCTGATAGAAGCGCATTACTAGTTTCTATGGAGACTTAAAATAGCATGACTGTTTGGAATGACTGTTGGAGAAGAGGAGGATTTTTTTTATTAAAACAGTCTTAAAACTCATTCCATATAGAAAACACTATTTGCCCTGCTGCCACCAAACATCAGGAGGGTATATTGTTAGTTTAATGAGTTTCTCCTCTTCTGAAAGATATTACCAAGTGCATAGAATGTCTTCATTTGAGTTCCTGAATTGCTGAAACCCTGTATTTCAGTATTAATAAATTTATTTAATTTTATAGGATTTCTGAATGCAATTAAGAGTAGTGTTGGGTAGAAGGCTGTCATCCATTTGATTAATGATTAAACCTCTGAATTTCTTGAACCTCAGTATCTGTGGTTAGGAACTCAGTGTACTACAGGAAAACATATCAAGTTTCCCAAATAGAAAAAGAAGTTTGAATTTCAATGTAGACTGGCATGTCTTTCTTAAATAGAAAATATGGTCTCTGACATTAAAATGAAAAGTCTGCACACATAATATTATTTACACTACAGTAAAATGTTTTCTTGTCAAGCATTACAAATTCAGATTGCATGCTCTTCCTTATTGAGTCTGTGCTTCTCTCTCTGATCAAATACTTTTATACCCAATGTCACTTAAAAGAAGTAAGCATTTGAATCTTTGTGTATTCTCCTAGCTGCTAAACAAGCTTCAGAAGCAAAGCAAGGCAGTGACCTTGAAATGTACCCTTTACCATAATAGAATCATGTTTATTTTTTCCCCTGGTAGAGAGTTTGGAAGATGTAATGTTTCTCTTTTATATTCAGATTCTAAGTCAGATGCATTTTCTCTGGAAATAGCTTTTAAAATAAATTTAAAAACACTTTTTTGGAAAATAAAAAAGAATCTACTTTAGACTCTTTTAATTTATGCCTAAAGCAGGAAAGGTAAGAGTTCAGAACATAATTAACTTAAAATATACCCTAGAACATATCTGACTCATCATGCTTTAATGAGGCTCCATAAGTAGATGATCTCTGCAACAATAAAACAGAATACTGATTACAGAGGCCTTGACTCCTACCTGAGTAGAAAACCTGTAGAGTGTATTCCTGGAGGAAGTTTTAATGTCACCAAACTGAAATCAAAACAAAATTTGACAATTTAATTTCCTTGACTTGCCAATGAATAAGAAATAGATGAGTCAATAAAATTCTAGTATGTAGGCACATAAATAATTTCTTCTTGTCACATAAATTAAGAAATATAAAATATTCAGTGCTTGTTTAGAAAAAAATGATATGTCTCACTCATGGAGTGATATTGTATATTTAAAGAGCTAAAAATAAGATGGAGAAAATGGGGTGCTTATGTATAGCCATAGATTTAATATGATACAATTTATTCAATGTGTAAGTCTCATTGTTAGGCAATCTTTCCACAGTTCTTTACCTAGAAAAATGTAGTAATATCCATCAGTCCATCAGTCCATTCTTTAGTGTGTCCATTGCCTATGCAGCAGCAAATGATGGTACTAAGAACTTCAAAATATTCAGTACATTATGTTAAAAATTATGGTGTTCTTTTATGTGTAATATATATAACCGTCTATTGAAAATTTGAAGCTTTAGAAACAGAAAATAAAGGAAGAACATAGAAAATGTAGACTAATGAAATTTATGAAAATTATTAATCTTCAATCTTTTAAATATTCTTGCTGAACTATCTGAAAATTTATTTTGCTTCAGACATTAGGGAATAGGTCCCAGGAGGAGAGCTATGTGAACGTGGCTTAACAAGCCTGTAGAAAACATCTGTTTGGGATATAGAGTTTGGTTTCTCCCCACGGAAAGGGAAAAGTAAAGAAAGACCAAAATACAGTAATTACAACATTGATGGAATTTTCATTCTATATTCCTCTGACAGCTGAGAAGGAAGATTTTTAAGTAAAAGAGATGGTTTTAGTATTCTCTGACAAGGGTATTAACAAACAAGGGAACATGGAATTACAATCTCATGTATTATTTATCTTTGAAGGAAACCTACATTGATACCTAGTAAGAACATGAATAATATAATTGGTATAAGATTATCATCAGATCATATCAACTCAATACTTAGAAAATAATATCAACTGATGTAAATACTTGTTTTTGCCAGTAGCAATGTCAAATCATAGACAGACACACAAAAAAATCAGCATATTAAATCCACAATCAAGCTTTCATAAAACATTTTCAGTTCGTACTATTTCCTAGGGATGTTGAAAGATAAATATTGTACAGGTGGCCCCTGAGTTTCACCTGTCAACATAGGAGAGACACAAGCAAATAAATTATTATAAATTATAACCAAATTTCTATAAGCTTACAAGAAGGAAGTTACTAACTCTAGACAAATCAAGAGTATCAGAGAAAAATTCACAGAGAAGTGTTTTAACTGTTTTAACATTTGAAGAGGAGTTTTACTCAAAGTTGGCTAAGAGGGAAAAAAATCTCAGGAAGTTGTGGCAGCATGTGTATATTACGTTGAGACATGACGGGGTAAAGAAGTGGAAAAGGTATCTAATTGTGGTATGAAAATAAAATACAGATTTTAGAACACTTCCAGGTGGCCATGTATTTATAGAAAGGATGGCAAACTAAGAGTGAAAGTCAAACAGCTGGAAAGTTGGAACGTTTCTCTTTTGTCTTAGCTACATGCATGATGGATGGCATGCTGTTGGGAATTGAGGTAGGGAGAAAGACTAAAGCTGGGCCAAGGTTGTCATGGAATATATGAGACCGTGAGGGCAGGTGGCATGTAGAATAGCCAGATGACATCAGCGAAAAGAGTAGTGGCTTCTCCAAAGTGCCCATGGTCTGTAAGTGGTGGCAGGAGAGAGGGAATTCTCATCTACCTTCTCTTACCTCCTGGTGTTTAGAAATCCGCTGTGTGAAGATTACATAGGAAGTAAATGGATATTCTGTAGAGAGACCTAGGCTAGTGGGGAGTCTTTTAGCAAGAAATGAGGGCAACCATTAGCCCAGAGGAATAGATTAGAAAAAATCAGTAGCAGTACAGGACATCACAATAGGGCTCTGAAGGAAATCAGAATATGTCTGATGATATGCAACAAGAGAGGCTTGAAATTTGCTTCTTGATAGAGAAGGGTATGCAGACTTCACGGGATTTTGCTTAATGTTTACTTAATGTTTGAAAGAAAGTTATTTTGTATATAAGTTGCTCTAATGTTTGTAGAAGCTATAAGTCCCTCACCCTAAGGGAATGGTAATTGTGATAAGATTTTAAACTGAAGCATCAGTTTATTATCCTTTCTGCCCCTTCTCTACCCAGGTGAAGTCTGGATTTTCTCCTTTGAAATCTCACTGGTGCTCTAGGCTGCATCATTCTCCCCTTGCTCCAAACTCCTGCAGTCAGATCCGTATCACGGTTCTCTAACAATTAGGTGCCTCGAGATGTGAAGCATGTTGAGAGTTGTACCATATGTTTTTATTGGGCATATTGATGAGATCAGTGTTGAATGCATCATAGTTATTCAGTAAAGACCTGCCTAAGCAAGTGGCTGAATGGCATGAGACTATCAAGCTAATGACTGCATGGCTGGTTGTAGGTTGTGTGAGGGCCTTTTAATTTGCTTTTTCTTCAGAGGACATTTATCCTCATCCCAAAAATATCTTGCAAAGTCCAATCTATTCTTCTTTATTAATCCAGAGCATTGCATTTGTTTTATATTTATACAATTTATAAACTGGGCAATTTAAATGGTTTGGATATTTACTAAAATATTGGATAATCATGAGTTATATATCTTTTAATACATTTGCAATAAAAATAGCAGAAAGATAATTAATCCTATTCAGTGTGACTAAATATTAACAAAAGAAGAAAAGACAGTATGTGAAAAAGAGATAAGTGGCTAGGAAAAAAGAAAAGCTATAGATTTGTGGACAAATGCATACCGTTGATTAAAATAATGAGTTTCCTACAGGGCAAACAAATTAAAGTTCATGACCTGAGGTTGTTATAGTAGTAAAATCAGTTTTAATTTAATAAATGAGCCCTAGCATGTGCTAAATAATTTTTTAAGTAAATAGGATATAGCATAGAGCCAGACAGAAGAAATCCCAGCTTTTATGAACCTCATATTTTAGTGAGATTACATACAGGTCGATCATCTATAATTTGAACATCCAAAATCCAAAATGTTACAAAATCCATATTTTGAGCACCAACATGATGCTACAAGTGGAAAATTGCACACATGGCCTCCTGTGATGAGTCAAAGTCAAAAAGCAGTCAAAACATTGTCCCATGCAAAAATTTATTAAAAATATTGTATGATATTATCTTCAAGTCAGTGTACAAGGTATATATGAAACATAAATGTATTTCTTATTAAGACTTGGATCCCATCACCAAGATGTCTCATTATATATGCTAATATTCTATTAATAAAATCTGAAAAAATCCCAAATCTGAAACATATAGTGTCCTAAGCATTTTGGATAAGATATACTCCATCTGTAGATAATCATAATATATAATTGCACATTTATGAAAATTAAATTCTACTATATATATTCTATGATAATATATATAAAATATATATTTATATACCTATATATTAATTTTCATAATACATACTAACTTGTACCAAAGAAGTTGGATATTCAAAATTCCAAATTGACTTTGTCCTAAACATTTTTTGCTAGTATTAGTTCTTTATTTTAAAGACTTAAAAAATGTTGAGAGTTTGCAAATTATATTACTGCTGTGAATATTATTAGCTGTGGGTATCACTGAAAGGAAACTATTTAATTAACTTGTGGATAAATTAATAGGTCCACAGAGTATTCTTCCCCCTAACTATTTTGGGATCTGTCTTTGTCCTTCACAAGGACAATTGAAAACTCACTCTCAATTTTTAAAATATAATCTTTGTCTCTTTATAAAACCACACTTTATATGATTGTTTGCTAAAGACTTGCCATTATCATAAATAAAAAAGTATTTGTTGTAGAAAAATAGTAAATGATTGTGAAAGCCCTTGCATTAATCCACAAACATTTAGATTCATTATGATACTTTTGGCACTGGAGTTTAAGTTACATTTGATGAAGCACATAAATTTGAGTGGATGTAACTATAAAGGTTTCAAAACAAGCAGTTTAACACATTTTAATCTGCCTTTTAGGTGCATGAGTTAATAAAATATTTCATTATTTGAATCATTTGCTTACTACTTTTTAAAATTCCATATCAATTATCCAGTTCTGGAATTAACCTTTTATTAATTTTCAAAGATATTTCCATTGGTTTAACTTTTGTGCTTAGCTGAAGTTTAAATAGGCAATATGTCAGTCATACTTTTTTACCTCCTAGAATGCAGGTCTGCACACCAAAGTATGCGTTACGTTTCCCTTTCCTGGCTAGTGAGACCTCACTCAAGAACATCTACTCCACTTCATGCAAGAGCATGTTTTCTATTTTAACCACAAGGGTTTATTTTTTCAAAATAATATAAATCATGAATAAATAATTAACTTCTAGGCTGGTTGGGCAGGTGAAGTGCTTTCTAGAATGATCTCAGATGCTCATAGCATGGTTTTCTTGGAAAAATATACAAAAATAAGTGGGAATATTGTGTGGGTCTTGTTGGTGAAGTGACACCTCTCTGTACCTGGACTGGGGAGACCAGGAGGTAGCGCCCAGGCCTCAGGCTTGCATGACTAAATCAGCACAAAGGATTGTTTGGAACTAGAGGACGCAGCTTCTACTTTCACGAGTGGCAGTTGTACATACCTCCTATGGGCTGGAGGGAAAGGAAATTGTGTACTTGGGTGGTTACTGGAACTCCCAAATAATTATTATGCACATTCTATATTGCCTACCTTAAATTCTATAAAATTAAGTAAACAAAATATTGGATTAATAATTGCTTATGTCTTATTAGAGGTTGCCTACTTTAGTGGCATTTTAGTACCCAAATTCACACTTTAAATAATTTGTTCATAAAATTCTAATGATATCCTAATAGTAAAGAGACATTAGAATTAAAATTTGTAAAGAATATCTCCTAAATTTCCTGATGGAGTATTCATTGCCAGGAAACTCGGAGATAGAAGAGACTTTAAG